AAAAAAAAAATGTAGCTAAAACCAACAAAAGGAAACAAAATGAAAACGAATACATACGTGAAAAAAACAGCAGGCAACAGCAGAAAGAACAATATCTGGAAAAGCCTCATCATTTTCAACCAACAAAAAAAACCCAATTTTTTCCTTGATCAATTAGCAAAGTGAGGGCGAAATAATCGAACTGGATAACGAAAGAGGGAGAAAGAAAAAGAGGGGTTCGTCGGAGAAGATAAAAGGGGCTGCACTGCACCTGTGATTATTTTCAGGTTTTTGTAGTTGGAATGAGGCTTGAGATCTTCAGAGCTGCAATTCCACGCGAGGGCCTGGGCGAGTCGACGATTTTTTTTCCCCCAATTTTGGAGATTAGGGTTTGGCGAGATATGATTTCCACTCGCTCATCTTCAACAGTTTCACACACTCGCTTCCATCTCTCCTTCTCTCTCTAGCGCGTGGCTCACTCCTCTTTTTCCCTTTTCTAGCGTGCGTCTTTACGCATACGTGTCACGATTTCTATTAAATTTAATTTAACAAAAGAAAAATGCTAGTAAATAATACTACTTGTCATTCTTATGTACGTTCGTTCTTATTTTTTTAATTTTAATAGGTTTCACTAATGTGAATTAATGTTCGTTCTTATGTACAATATTATGTACGTATATCATTATTCATTGATAGAATGAATGGAGTTTTAATAGTTAATCGAGTTCGTTGATTAAAAAGTCAAGTTGAACTCATTTGCGAACAATTTGTTTATATTTTTTTTTACTATTTTTTATATGCTTCGAGCGAACAGTCAAACTAAGCATTTTTAAGAACGCACTCTCTCGTGAAATCGAACGATCAGTTTTATTCAATTCATCAAAATCTGCTTCTCTTTTCGTCCATACAACAATAAATAAGAAAAGGAAAAATACAGAAACCTACTCTTGCCCAACAACTGTAAGATTTTTATTTTCCTACCATAATTACTAAATAAACTAAAGGAAATAAAATAAAAGAGTACTAATAATAACGAAAAATAAATAGATTAAACCCGAAGCCGATCGTATTTATTCAATACGCAATGACGGTCTCGTCTTCATCAATATCACTTGTTACAATTTTGATTGTGATGAACAAGTTGGGTCTGACTGATATTCCACGAGCTTAAACAAGCCCACGAGTTGAATCAAATCATCTCCTTTATTAAATAAGCACGAGGACAAGCTACTCGATTAAAAGGGTGTTGAACTTTTACCTTTGTTCAAATATTACGATTTAAAAAACATAATAATTAATTTTCCAACCAAATTTAACCAAAAGATACACCTCTAAGTAATTTCTCATTTCCCACTTGTATTTTGATCATGCTATTATAACAATAATAATAATAATAATAATAATAATAATAATAATAATTTAAAAACAACAAAATCACTCACCTATCCAATGCGATGTAGTTAAATTTTCACGATCTTTTAATTATATTATATAGTGTGTTAATTTTTTGTGATTCAATTTATGGATATATTAACGTGTATCCATCATCAATGAAAAAGACAAAAATATAAATCTGTTCAAAAGTCTTCTATAAATATTTTAAAGGAACGCGATTTGTAAGTTGCAACTTGGTAATACATAGTACCATAACATTAAAAAATAAAATAAAAAAAAATATGCAATTGCACATATGGGTCAAGCTTGATGGTCACCACTTATTGAAGTGACCAAATGCTACACTTCTTCTCCATTTTATTTGGAAATGTCTGTTGGGATGTCCCTATCTTGCGTGGAACTATCCAAAGCATGTTAGTAGTAACACTATTAACATATATGGAGATGCTACGGTCCCATTACGTTACCATCCCGTTGATTGTTTTAATCGTTAGATCTACGTGTAGTTAGATAAGATCGATGATCCAACGGTTAAAACATCCGACGGGATAGTACCGTAACGGGATGGTAGCATTTTCCTAACATATATATGCACACACATACGTATAACTGTATAATAAAAATATTGTAATATTTATCAATATCAATTAAAAAGTAACAAAATTATTTACTAACTAAATAAGTTACACTACAAAAAAATTGTTATATTCCAACGTAGAATTATATGATAATATATTCTAATGTAAATTCTAACGGATATTCCACTGGACGGCGACGACGCGTCTCCACAAGCACGCTTGGATAGTAAGCGTCTCCGTCATCTCCGGCGTTGGTTACCTCATCGTGGTCGAAGGAGTAGAGGTCGTCATCGCCGTCGTCAGAGTCAGAGTGAGACGGGCTGACGAGCTCCCACGCATACAGATCGACGTCGTTGTGCCGGACGTCCAGGGTGGATTGGCCAATTTTCGCCATGGATGAGGTAGTTTTCGTCAGGATTCTCAGCATTTTCGGTTCTAATAAAATTGCTTTTGGAGAGAGGATATAAACCTAAGAATATTTTTGACTCAGATTGATAGTGAATTGAAACGGGCCAGCCATATAATATGGTAAGTAGATATTTAATTTAATATGCAACTAAGGGTGTGTTTGACACGTATAATAAGCTAGTTTATAGCTTATTTGATTAACTTATAAGCTTTCTGTATCAAATAAGTCCCTTTTGGTAGGACGAGCTTATTTAAAAAGCTCGAGCTTATTTGATAAGCTTGTTTAGGTAGCGTTTCAAAATAAGCTAGTTGACTTTTTTATTTCAACTAGCTTATAAGCTAGTTTTACCAAACACTTTTATCATATAAGCTAGCTTTTCAGCTATAAATCATAAGCTATAAGCTATAAGCTAGCTTATAGCTTATCAGCTACCAGCTAGCTTATAAGCTATCAGCTAGCTTATCAGCTAGGTTTACCAAACACACCCTAAATAGTTGCGTACTAATTATTTTCACTAGTCTAATTTTTTAAATATAATACCATTATTTAATGCATAATTTTACTATTATATTTATACAATTTATAACATTTTATTTACCTTGTTCATATGTACATGATTGGATATTAGTTTAATTAACATGGTTATTTTTCCATATATATCATTGAATTCAATTATGACGACTCCTCCACATGGGTATATAAATGGGCCCCATCTCATACCAAATATTTCACTGGTCCAAATAAAACCCAATCTAGAATCTAGATATGTTACAACTCACACGTTGACTAGAACCCATGGCAAATTTGGTACCTTAGAAGCTGCATGTATTTTGCCCTTTTTTTTCCAACTAATCTTATTGCCAATGTCAATCATGATAATGTAGTTATTCATTCAGTTTACACTATAGTCAATCATTTTTTTTATTTAACAAAATTGCCAAATCTCTAGCTAATGAATCTTATTTGACATCGAAAAGTCCAAATGCAAAGAAAGTGCGATAAATTCGATCCTATCCCATGATGAGTAGTGCCTTCATGGGATTTTTAGCCACATATTTCGCACACACTCATGTGGGTGTGTGTGTATAATTGTGTGGCTAAAACCTATGGGGCACTATCCCATAAGGTAGGATTGAATATGCTAGAAAGTACATATAGTTCACAATAAATATAATTTCATACATGCTTAACGAAAATACAATTATACTTTTAAACTTGACATTTTACACTATTAAGTTAAAAACATCGTTCTCAGCAAAATAATAAAAATAAAATATGTTATTTTATAATATAAATATGTAGTTTTATAAAAACAAAATTCGGTTTCGCTAATGATTGAAAAGGGCTCACACAAGAATGGTTTGTGTAATTTGTTAATTGTTATGCCGATTATCAAAGCTAAGAGCATTCACAATGATTTGGGTTTAATAAAAAAAAAAATTAAATGCCACCTCAGAAATAGATTCGGTCTAAAAAAATATGTTCTCCAATGCAAGTGTAGGTTGACTAAGTCTTGCTGACGTGACAACAAGAAAAGAAGACTCGGTCTAACCTTAAGTCCATTTTAGATCCAAATAGAGACCTAATCTCCTTGCATTTGAGTAGATTTTGTTAATTTTATATATTTCTTTTCATGTCATCAAAGACTTAGGTTTATTTACATTCCACATAAACAAAACTATAAAGTTGAAACAATACTAATTAAGTCAATAAAAGATGATAATCATTGCATTTGACAAATTATAAAGGGGGTGTCTATATGTACACCTCCTTGTGTGTAAAAAAGGGGTGTACATATAGCACTTTTCTTTGTGTAATTTATTAAAAGGGGGTGTACATATAGCATTGCCCATTATAAAAAACTAGTACATAACCCGTGCGATGCACGGGCTGTATTTATTTTGGTAAAATTTATAATTAAATTATTAATCAATAAGTTATAATACATAGTGTATTTGTTAGGGTAATCGTAAAATGTTCGTCATGAAAAAGTCATACAATATTAAAAACATCGTCATTTTTTCATGCAAAATTACTTTGCACTTGGCAACTGTAGTCCGATATTTACTAAGATTGATCTACAGTTGGTAATTGCGAACTGCATAGTCACCTTCTTACTTTATTTGTTATTTTTTCTTTGTTGATTTTCGTTATGTTAGCACCACAAATAAAAATTATAGTGTAAATATGTAATATTGTCATAAATACTAAAGATATGATTTATCTGGTGAAGCTTAATTTTATATAAAATATAAAAAAAGTGTTACCTTAAAGTGTGGATTTTGATTATCTTTTTTTTTTCAATCATTCTCGTTTTTATTCCAAATTCATTCCAATATTTAAAAACAATTTTCTTTTTGTTATGTTTTAACAGAGATTTGGATTTTTGATTGTATCTTTTGTAAAACAATATTTACAAAAATAATTACGTTTAAAAAAAATAGCAACAATATTTTATCATTTGTAGCTCAAAACTAATTAAATGAATCGGATGACATTAAATCACTATTTTTAAATGAAAAAAAAAAAATCATAACTAAATTGATAAAAAGATAATTCAAAATGATAAAAAATCGTGATAATATAAATAAATAAGTTGTTTACATGCGTAGTAGAATAGTGAATCGAATATTGTGGCAATTTTTAAAAACATGTTACCATGATTGAAATGAAATCTTTACTAAATTTTTTACTTGTAGTTAAGTTGCATATATTGTATAACTATATATGAAAAAAATAAAGAATTTAAAGTTCAAATATGCGATTTATTTATATGTTTATACTAAAATATACAGTCTAAATAATTAAATTTTTTATTTATCATTTATATTATTAATAATGTTACCATGATTATTGTAAAGTTCTACTCTTATTTTTACGGCAAATTTATGTTATATTAAAATGAATTGAAAAGTCTAAAAAGAGATATAGATTGAATTAAAAATATTGAATCGTGGTTAAATTATTTAATTCCATATATACTGATTTTAAAATGGTACTTCATAATATTTGATTCCATAATAACATTGTTTTTAAATAGAATTGATTCCAAACAATCAGATTTAGTGTTTAATCAAATATTATGGTATATTTTCTTAAAACAATAAATCCAATTATCGAGGGAAGTTCAAACTGATTGCAATTAATGCTTCGAGGTTTGTTTAAAAGAATTGTGTAAAATTACTATAATTAGGATGTAATTAATGCATAATGGCAAGAAATGCTTATTATATTTGATTTGCATTCTTATTATATATATAGATATAGGTATATAGATATAAATAATGTAAAATAATATTCATATGAAAAATATTATTTAATGTAATTTATCTAGAAAAAAAAAAGGTAAAATAACCATTTGTAGTTATAAGAATACAAATGATTAAATAGTAATTTTTTTAATAAATTTGTAGAATATTAGATTTCTAATTAAACATTGTATTAAAAATTCTAAAAAATAAAATAAATAATATATATTTAATTTGTGGAAGGATAAATACCTTTGAGGTGTAAGAGGTCAAACGGGAAGCAGTGGAGATGCACGACCATGTCCATGCCGGAATTATATTATTCCATAGATTTTGCCTACATATTAGCAAATTGAGATTGTATCAGTTTATTCCTAAAATTCTGGATGTATCAGTTTATTTCATAGATCAATATCTAACCAAATTTTGAAAAGTGAATAAAAATCGGATTGTATCAATTTATTCCTAAAATTATGGAAACTCATTAATTTCTTAACCCAAATTGTCTTAACATTCTAAATCTAGCATTTAATTAATGAAATTGGCGGGAAAAAGTTTCTAAAAGTGAATTATGTTAATCTTTATTATATATTAATAGATGTTAAAAACTAGATAATGAATTATGACGTGGACATGCTTTGTCTATATTATCGCCTTCGTTAAAGAACGTCTCATCAACTCTGCAATTTGTGTCACACACACACCGCCAACCACAATCTTTATTTTTATATTTTTTTTTTTATTTTTTTT